ACATGGGCTACAACAGTCTGAGTTTCTTCATGCAATAGACGCTCATGTTCAGAACATAAAAACATCTCAATTGCTGCATGTCTCTTAAGTAGGATGATAGGATGTTTCAGCTCAAAAAAATTGCAATTTCCAGTCTACTACTTTTAATAAGTTATTAGCGTCAAGGAAAAGATATAATGTATTCTTTTGTTTATCTTTTCTACTCTTTTATCATCTTATCAAATAGTTCCCATTGTACTAATTTAAAAATAATATTGTTTGTGTGCCATAATTCACCTGCTGACAATGTATGGTTTATGCCTAAAGTTTTAGATTTTCTATATTTATGGTCTATCTTAAACTATTATGACATTACATGAATGTCTGAAGTATGCCGTTCTAAATATTCCTGCGTATATTACCATTGGCATGTGTTTCTCTGGCAAGGCTACCACTTCTGAGCAATAAAATTTATTATGCCACTTACTGGGTCTTCAGAAAACTGTAGAGGCCATGCCACCAGAGCCTACAGTTCAATAATTTAACAGAAGATTAGACCCTTAGAAACTATGTCTGCATGATTATCTTTGTGCTTGAGACGTGTCTATATGTGATGGTCTTACTTCAGAAATCTCGGCCACCCTGTTATGAACAAACATTTACAGTTGTGAGGTATTTGTCTGTAACCACGTTAAGACTATATTGAAGTCACTTCACAAAATGGACTCTGTTGTTTAAATAATACCAGAAGTATCAGTAAGCACGCTTATGTAACTTTAACACTGCAGATAATTCCAATTGCAAGCTATCTTGGATTTCAAATATAAGAAGTGAGTTTTAATGCCACATTGATATGTAGTTTGTATATATATATATATATATATATATATATATATATATATATATATATATGCAGGCACCATATGCCTTTAATGAGATATTAGCAAATTTATGACAAAAGGTTTACAGCGAGGACACAAGAAGGAATAGTAATTTCTTTAAAGTGTATTAAACCGTTGAAGAATTTATTACACTCCTTTTGAAGTGTTTCTGGAAGATCATCGTCCTAATCAAACTGTTCCTTTCATAAGCTCCAGAAGTGCTTCTGGAAGAACATCATCCTAATCAAGCAGTTCCTTCCACAAGCTTTGCATAATAATTTTTATTGCAATTATTACTATTCAAGATAAAACAAATCTTCTTCAATTAAGTCTGCTGTGGAATTTACACTAGTGATGATATCATCCATATAACCATCCTTATCTAATGCCTAGGGAGCTCGAGTATTTAAGGCATATTTTTTTGAGACCGATATTTTAAGACATCACGGGGCTAAAAAATAGCACATGCTGTGCAATAGGTAACAGTTGTGAGTTTAAAGGTTTCAAATTCAGATTCGGTAGTTTTTGTTACCTCCAAAACTCTAATCTGCATATACATTTTCTCAATACCTAATATAAAAATATAGAAATGAAATCTAAACCTTAACAAAATTAAAAATAAATTCTGTTGTAGTTTTGGCCTAAGGTGTCAAAGCAATATTAAAGTCTGCATCAGCGAGGTGACCATTATTTAGAATTTTCCAATCACTACAGTCAATAAAACTACTGTGTAAATTTTGGGTAATGTGATCAACTACAACACAGTGAATAGTGTGTTGATACCCAGAAGTTCTCTATTTATTTTTAATTTTTCCTGCTTTCTGGCTTACACAGGATTGACACCCAATAACATTTTCATCCTACTGAATTATGCTATTGTAGGGCATTTTAAACTCTTCATTAGTGAATTAAATTAATTTGAGATCTCACTGTCAAGCAGAGCCTCATGCAATGAGTTATTCCCTATGCATTGAAAGCAAACATAGAGGCAATTGAAAGAAGCATTTGTACATTGGACTAGCTTAGCGAGCATTGTTGCAAGAATGGAGTAGGCTGGTTGATGAAGCAGGAACAGGTTCGTCACGTATCAAAGAGACCCACAATGTCTCTTTACATTAATAACAAGTGCCTTTAAAAACACATTTACAAATCATATGCATGAGGTAAGCAGCAAGAGCCAAGTAGATATTTGGAAACAAATTCCTTGTGAGACAAAATTTCTGATTATTTGAATTTCATCCATTTACACAAAGGATAATTTCCATTTTAGCAACAGGAAGTTGCCACCACTATTACTTTGTTAACATGGACCCAATGGACCATTCTAGAGTTTCTTTGAAAAGGTTTTGTTAAACAAATTTTCTAAGGCACAAATTTGCAATTAAAAAAAGACAAGAATTCATTTACTGTTGGAAGTACATTGCCATTCCCAGGCATATTCCATGCCATATGAGTGCTGCTATCTAATTATTGAGCATGTTCAACAGAATAAGGTCCCAGTGTTTTTGCTGACCCATGACCAGCGGAAAGAATTTTGTACATGTTGCATAGCACTACATATAAAATTGCATCATCGTACAATGTCTCATGTGTATCTTCATATACTTGTGTATTATTACCTATCTGCTGAAGATGAGAATTAAGTATTAAAAGTTTATTATCATAAGTTTTACGCAGGAGCTCATATACAACCATGTCATTTTCATTAGTTAGACTTAATGAAGATGACATTGTGATGCTGATGATAAAAAGCATTCTTTAAATAATGTAGCTTTTGAACTGATATAAGTTTTTGTTATTATGGATGTGTAAATTACATAAAGCTATAAGCTGAGTATACTCACTCCATTGACTCCATGACTTCTAACGCTCGGCTCAGTAGAAGAGGGAGATTCTCTTTGACATTATAGCTATTTGTCTGAATACTCAAAGTACTCTTTGGAAAACTGCCTACTTCCAACTCGATATAATTAACTTCCCACTGGTGACACAGCTCTACCAAACGTTTTTTCCTGCTCTCTTAAATGCTTCAATAGTGCATTCTTTGTAACCCAAAGCAACAAATTAACAAATTGTGTCAAAATGAGCACATGAAGTACGGTTTTATGCTTAACAACAAGAGAACTGAAAACAGCCTTAAAAGTAAGAAAGCAATGAACTTAAAACTATAAGCACACATAACCTTCCAGCACGCGATCCAGTCATGAAATTTTACGCCTGGTCCTTCTCGGCTTGGACCAGATAGGCCCAGATAGGTCCAGATAATCTGATTATTACGTTCGGAGATCCCAATCCACCAATACGAAGATATTTGATAGATATATATGTGATACGTCAATACTCGAATACGTAATGTTAACAACAGCGCGTTTGCGCCTGGTGATTCTCGGAATGGACAGGAGAACTTCGACTAACTTTAGAGATTTGTGACGCTCCCAGTATGACCCCAGTAATACGAGCAGCGTTGACAATTTTATGGGGCATCGTGTGTCTAACCTCTTTTTAGTCGACGTGATTTTTCTAACTCAGTTTACAAATAGCATGGTATTCGTAATTGCTCTATAAATGCCTTTTATTCTGATGAATGTTGTATCATGACTTACTTGTCGATAATATCCTAAAAATCACCAACAAAGGATGGAATTTAGTAATGGCGGATTCGTCTTCGTTCGGACAATTGGCACTGAATATTCTAGTAATATTTTCAATAATCCGGAATAAAGGACCAAAACTTAAGAGAAAAAGTTAAGGCGATGAATACTTTACCAAAATAATTTATTGAAATATTTATAAAAAGCATATTTAATATATGTAGATGTCACACAAACACAGTCAGAATTGATATAGGAATGATATTTTTTGCGGTATGCACAGAGCTTACACCTAGATAAAATAGTGTCCCTGAAGTGGGAAAAACACACAAGTTGCGAAATTCAAAATATTAGGTTGTCAAATATCTCCCTTCCGCTTTTTTGCTCTTGGTTTATAATACAAAAAGGCGGAAGGGAGATATTTGACAACCTATTATAAAATGAAATGATTCATGATTTTAAGGCGCCAATGGGCGCCGAATTGGGAGTTGTACTTGAGCCGCTTAATAATTGGCACATGGGTCTTTCACTTCCATTCAATAATCGCAACAGGTAGCATAATCTCGACAAAAGGATTTCTACTTGATCCGAGCATACATCAATGACTTTTATATAGCACTAAGACCATACACGACGATTTTAATAGATAATTTATACACAGAATAATAAAGCTAACCAGTGTTCAACATTTTCTACAATTGGAAAACCATACAAGTCCTATAGTCGCTCAACTTTTTGAGACACCAGTTAAAAGAAGACTGAAAAAGAAGTTTCCAAAAGGCGGTATTCAAGCCCACTAGCATTACCACATATTTTGGAGAAATTATCAGAATTGGTGAACGACTCATTGATGGAAGGGACGCTATTGATATATTGAAGTTTAGCACAATAATTTCGTATGTGTGTGAGAGAATGAATTGAACCAAGATATTGTATTCTCATTGCTGTTAAAAATTTTTAAAAATATTATGTCGCTTGAAGAAATAATCACAAACTAAATAACATTATAGGAACATTACTAATACTATAATTATAATAATGTTAGTGAATTGTCTAATAAAGTAATAAAAAGTGTTAATAGAAAATTGCATGTTTCTTTAATCTTCCCATATATTAATAGCTGAAGGTTGTGATTTCTTCTTCCTGTATATATTTTGTGAATTAGCCTATAGCAACATATGCGGGGGCATTTATTTCTCTTACAATTAGAATGTTATTTTGAAATTGCTGAATGTTGTCAATATTTGATTTATTTACAAAAGGTGGAAGATTTTTTTATCTAATTATAGTGTATCAATAATAAATATATATACATATTTTACATTGAATCTGCAAGTATATTATTAAAGCTATATAAATTCAAATTCAACTATATGTACACTGTTACCTCTATATTTCTGTCGTCAACAAAAATTACATATAATACATAACGCAGCATTATAAAATGTTAAGTATTCGAGATAATATAATGTTCAGTCGTGTTTTCGATATTCGTTATTTAATAATAAATTTTTTTTAAATGCGATTATTGCTTAATTGTTTTATTAGACTAGCAACATCTTTGTGAGTATTTAACCCAGACGTCCTTCGGTGTTAACACAAATCCTGATAATTTGTTATTGGCAGATGGTCTGGGCAAACCAGGCGCTGGTGAGAAGGTGTAATGTTGCATGAGGCCTGCAAACATCAGAAATAAACCCTGACGAGCAAATGTTTCACCTGCGCATAGTCGCTTCCCTGGAAAATAATGGTAAACATAATTATAATAAATTTTTATCAAGTAGCTAAAGTACTTAAATATATTCGTAACTTTATTAAAAATATATTCTTTTATGGAATCACTATACTCTTCTTTTATCTATGGCCTGAAGATAAAAAAACGAAATTTGAATTTGTAAGCAACGTGAACATCGCACGCATTTGTTTTGCCTTTTTATTAATCTTTATTCCTATTGGTTGAATATTAACTTTATTAAAAATATATTCTTTTATAGAATCATCACTCACTAAAATGGTATGTGACAAATATAATAATAAGAGCTGGTATTAACAAATGTGACTAATATAGTGCGTTAATACACCCGTGAATTTAATACAGAATAGTTTAAATAGGCAAATTAAGCCTGAAAAAAAACGAAATTTGAATTTGAAGCAACGTGAACATCGCACGCATTTTTTTGCCTTTTTATGCCTTTTTATTAATCTTTATTCCTATTGGTTGAATATTTTTAGGCAAATGCTATAAATACTTGACCAAACCAAGGCAACGTCCTTTCCATGGCGAGTTTTCGAAATGAAGAGACCTCCGCGATGTGCTCCTCAAGAATAATCGTTTTTAATTGCAAATGTGATCGTAAAACAGTTTTTAACCAAATCGTTGCATTATTTTAGAAGAAGATTTAAAGTTATCAATTAGTTATCGGTTAAAGTAAGAAGGTACGCTTTAAAAGTGAAATAGAATCGCCATTGTTCGAGAAGGATCCCGTTTTGCGCCCGGCAGCCATTTGCTGATGCAGATCTCTAGGTAAGTTTATTTATACTTTTACACTGCACATTCTTATTTTATTCTATTGTACTTATAAAAATTAGATTATATTTTATAAAAAAGCAACACAAGCAAATCGTTCTGTAATAATAAGGCAAGTGCGTTGGAAAATAAAAGCCTATATTCTTGACAATAAATTTTCTACATAGCTAGATTTTCGCGATGTGTTTATAGATTTTTGCAAGTTTAATTATTAATATACAACTTCTAACCAATTTGCAAAACCTGCATTATTTTAAAAGAAAATTTAAAGTTATCTATTAAAGCTGAGGTGCGCGCTTTCGAATGAAAATAGGAGACCCATTTTCCCATGTTTGGTAGGTCGTTATTATGTATATATAGATACCTAATCAAACGCGCATTAAAAAACGCAAAACATAAAGTGAATTAAATAATTTTAATACTAATTGTACAAAATGCTAGTTGTAAGTGGCCTTTTCCATTAAGGCTAAGGTTCATAATTCCCATAATTGCATCATAATTATTCAAGAGGAAGGCTGGTTTAATCTCGAAGAAAATTTTATCTCGAAGACAATTTTATCTCGAAGATAATTTAATCTCGAGGCAGGTTTATTTAGTATTTGCTGACTCTACAATCAAATTTATTTTATTATATTATATATTCCTAATTATAATTTATAAAAAAAAATCATTTATCTTATTAACAATTGTGGAAGCAAGAATAGTTGAGTTCGAAATATAGATGTTTTCGAATGAAAATTGGAAAGCCATTTTCTGGAACATTCTCTCGTTCCGTATGTCGGTATAGTAGATATAAATGTTTTCGAATGAAAATAGGAGAGTCATTTTCTGGAACATTCTGTCGTTCCTTGGGTCGGTATAGTAGATTCGATTGTTTTCGACTTTAAATAGGAGAGCCATGTTCTGGAACATTCTCTTGTTCCTTGGGTCGGTATAGTAGATTCGAATATTTTCGACTTTAAATAGGAGAGCCATTTTCTGGAACATTCTCTCGTTCCTTGGGTCGGTATAGTAGATTCGAATATTTTCGACTTTAAATAGGAGAGCCATGTTCTGGAACATTCTCTTGTTCCGTCGGTCGGTATTCTAGACGTTAACTAGAACCAAAACGCTAAAATCATGGAAAAAGCTAATTGTAAGTGGCATTTTGCATTAAGGAAAGCAGCATGAACATAATTCAAAAACCATAATACAATATATATGTAGTTTGTATTTGCTAATAATAGTATCACAATAATAATAGTGTTGTTTGTAATTGTCATAATTGCATCACAAATTCTGGAGATCTATGCAAGTCGACGCCATTATGTCAAGTTTATTTACCTTTTGTCAAATTTATTTTATTATACTGTATTCGGAATTATATTTTATAAATATTTCATTCTATGTATTAATGATTGTTATGGTGTAACATTCAAGATGAAACAAGAAAAGTGAATATCAAAATGTGCTATCGCCATGACTGTTGTACGGTGGCGAACGATCAGTAACTCACCTTGCACAAAGTGCTTTAGATTTGATTTTTGATTGTATAAACAACTAGTTGTAAATAGCATTTTGCGTTGAGGCAAGCAGCATGATAAAAGTACAGAAATACTACATGTAATACTATAAACAATTTAATTGCTACATATTTATCACAATTTTCTCGAGACAAATGCAAGTTGACATAGGTCGACCTAGAGGAAAGTTTATTTAGCTTTTGTTCATTTAGGTCTGCAACTAATTTTATTTTATTATGTTTTACTTGTATTTATACTGCACAAAGAAAAAAATATTTATTATTAATTTTAAATGCTAGTGAAATCTCCTCCTTCGGTAAATTAATAAATGTAATTTTACTATACTTTATAAATACAAAGCTATTATTTTATGATAATTAACACATTATATTTATTAAGCCATACCTGCTCCAAATGGTAGTGTGATGTCCTTCTTCTTGAGCATTCCTTTGCAGTCTAGAAACCGCTCTGGTCGAAAAACTTCAGGATCTCCCCAAATATCTGCATCGTGATGCATTCCCCAAAGGTTGGTCAATACCATAGTATTCTTAAATGTTTGTTGAACAACATATAATAAAAAAAATTTATGTTTACAAACATTTCGAGACTTAGTATGTATATATATTTATATATACACATACATACATACTATATATATATATATATATATATATATATGTATATATATATATATATATATTACATATATATATATATATATATGTATATATATGTATACATACACATATATATATATATATATATATATAAATATATATATTATAATGTGTATATATCATATCTCCTCTCTATGTCTCTCTTTCTATCTCTATCTCTCTGTCTCTCTCTCTCTGTCTCTCCCTCTCTCTCTCTCTCTCTCTTATCTCTCTCTCTCTCTCTCTCTCTCCTCTCCCCCTCTCTCTATATCTCCCTCTCCATATCTCCCTCTTTCTGTATCTCCTCCTACCCCCATATATATATATACATATAAATATATATATATATATATATATATACGTACATATATATATATATATATATATATATATATAAATAGGTATACATACATAAATATACATGCATACATACATACATATATATATACATATATATATATATACATATATATGTATATATATATACAGTGGCGTCGGAACCAAATTTTTGATGGGTGGGCTCGTTTTTTTTTTTTTTTTTTTTTTAGATAGGCAGCCAGTGGTCTCGTTTTTTTTAGAGATATTAGCCCATATAATTTTTTGAGATTGATGGGTGGGCTCAAGCCCACACAGCCCACACGGTTCCGACGCCACTGTATATATACATATATATATATATATATATATATATATATAAATATTTAAAGTATTTTGCAGCACAATCGTCGAATTAAAACAAGGTTGATATAGAAAAATTCTTTATTAAATGTTTCGGCACTTAATGTGTGCCATCATTTGGTAATCAAACCAGAAAAAATACAAAAACATAAAATTTTATTAAAAATACTAAAATTGTGCTGAAGAACAACATAACTAATAGATAATTATTAAAAAGGAAGAAATTGAAGCAAAATACTTCAAAAATGTATTAACGTTATATATATATATATATATATATATATATATATATATATATATTGATGAATTGTTTAGAATCGGGCAGTAACACCAAGTAAAAAAACTAAAGTAGTTTTGAAGTACTTTATTTATCCATACGTTTCGGTCTTCATCGAGACCGACATTCAGTGGAAAAAAGAAATTAATTATACAAAAATACACTACACTATTACACTGTGATAAACCAAACTATTAATAACCGGAACATTTAAACTAATTATTTTTTTAACAATTTTTTGTTTACATTCTAGTGTGTACAGATTGACTAACGTCTAAATACTGAATGATGAACTTTAGTTTTTTTACTTGGTGTTACTGCCCGATTCTAAACAACTCATCAAAATATATATCAACACCAAACTCACATATTTCAATATATATATATATATATATATATATATATATATATATTTATACATACATATAGGTGTATATCAATATTATTACAAAATTAATTATTAATATTTTATAATATTTCAATAATTGTTCTTTTAAAAAGAATTTACACTGAAGATAAGACATTTCTAATCTCTAATGCCTGTAATTTCATGAAATCAATTTCAGTTCCAGAGTTATGTGTTTTGAGGGACTGTATGAGCTGTTTGTCTACCTGCCTAGTGAGTACTTTCATCATAAAGTTGACAATATAGGAATTTAGTTTAGAGTATAAACTATTCTCAAGGTAAGTCTTCTGTTGCAGTTTGCGGATAAATGAATCTGGTGAGTTTTTTTTTATTAACTATTTTTAAGAAAGTCGAGGCATTTTGTTACCTTAGAGAATATGAAGTCTAATAGACAATTTAATGGAAAACGTATGTAAATTGAAACAAACTTGAAAATGAATTCAATTATCATCTAAATTTATTTTTAATGATATTTAATACCATTGGTGCTTAAAAAATGTATACATATAACAAACTTTTAACTTAAAATTTTTAAAATAAGTATTACCTTAGGTATATCAAATCCATTAAGTGTTGTATCAGCCAGAGTCTTATGTGGTATATTCATAGGTACCAAAGTATCGATTCTCATAACTTCTCTCAAACAAGCTTCGGTATAAGGCATACTGAAATTTGACCAAAAAAATCATCCGTGAATTGTTTTTTTTCAAAAAAAAACTTAACTCACTTTATTCTATCATCCAGGTTTGGAGATCGTGTAACTCCAACCTCCCTATCAATTTCTTCCTGTACTTTTTCCTGGACATCTGGCTGACGCATAATGTGGAAAAACAAATATGATATTTGAGCTGTTAATGCTGTTATCGTTGGAAGTAAAAAATCTATTCCGACTAATATCAGTTGTTCAACTGGAACAAAATTATTTATATTGTAATACAATTGCTTAAATCTTATTGAGGGTAAAAATAGACGATTTGCATTTAAGTTTAGTATTTCAAGAATTTATTATTTATTAAAAGTTATCAATAATTATATTACTATGTACTAATTTGCTGACAAAATTTTATATAACACTTTTTATACCCACAAGTGGAAAAATTATTAAAAGGGAAAAAAGAAGTAGTGTCTTAGAAAACTCTTGTGATACCCAATAAAGTCTGTTCATCACAAAAAATCACTTATATATTTTTGTAATACTCAACAGTAATTCATTTCATTTTTACCTGAAAATGATGATGTTAATGTTTCTTCACAGAGGTCAGTTTGTTGTCTTTCCATTTCGTTTAAGTAGATATCAACAAAGTTACGTTCAATTCCGTATTGATGAGTTTCAATTGTTGGTTGAACACATTTCTGAAAAATAAAATAATTTTGCAGATAAATTCATTAACACAAAAAATCTATTCTTTTAAAAAAATTAATTTGTTCTAAGTGGTTACTCACTTTCATAAAATCGTACAAACATTTGTTTCCTTCCCTGAGATCATTATATCCTGAAAATTCTGGCATAACATGCCGTAGCCAAGGGGTTTGTGAAAGAGCTCTCCCCATGTCATCTCCTGCCCTCTGAAACACCATTGCACCACGGGCCACCTTTAGAAGTTCATGGTGTTTACTTCGCGGCCAATGCTGTCTAGTAAACACTGCCATGAAAGAATTCATAAAAACGGCAAAAAATAAATCTGGCATTAGAACTAACCCATCTCGGCAAACTGTCTGCAAAGAATAATATAAGGCATATAATATAAATAAGTAATGTATTTTGTATTCTTGTTAATAAAATGAAAATACCTTTTTAACAAAAACCATCTCCTTATTGCAATATCTGAAAAATTATTTACGAGAAACTTACATTTTCATCACGTTCTTCAGGCCCATGTCGAAGCAAATTAATAAGGTCACTAATATCATCCCGAATTAAGTTTTCTAGAGACGGTGACCTTTTGCCAAAACCAAAATCTCGAAAGTATCTCAGGGCAAACCGTCTTTGTTCATGCCAAAACGCTCCATCAGTAAAGAATATACCTGTAATGATAAATATTTGATGATCTAGGAAAAATATCTTGAGGTTTTTGTGTCCAATATTGAAACATATTATAATAATTGATGAAATTATTTAATTAATAGAATTAAAAATGTATTAATATTTACACTTCTTTATTTGAACGTTTTTACATTTGGGAGAGAAAAAACTTACCACACAAATTATTTGGTAAAAACACAAAACTACATTTTATGAAAAAGTACTTGAATCTTGAAATCGTGTTGACAAATAAATTAAAATTAATATATAAATAACGCCCATTTATATACAGAGTTAGTGAAATAGTCAACAGCAAATGGTTTATTATTTTTTTTTTTTTTTGAAAAACATATATATATATATATATATATATATATATGTGCGTGTGTGTATACATTCGTAATTATTTATCAATACACAAAAAAGTTAGCTTTTAATAACTCCTGAAGATAGCGACATCCCATATTCCTGAAAAGTACGAAATATTTATATTATGCATAATTAATTAAATAAGCACATTTGTTGCGAAGGAAGCTCTTTCAGTTCATAAAAATAAAATCATAAATAATGATAGCCATCGATTTCTTTGTTGAATATATTCTTGAGATTTTTTTTTCAAATTTTCTTCATAATAAACTATAATACTTATATTGTTTATTCCATACGATTCGCTGCTGCATATCTCGTTCAATCATTCAGCAAGATTTAAAAAAGATTTTACTATTACAAACAGATTATAGACAAATTACTAAAAATTTGCAACAAAAAAATAATGAAAAATATATACATACCATACTAGAAAAAACACTAAAAATAATCATAGTTTTATAATTTTGCAATGAACAGATTGAATGAAATTAATCTGTAAACGGAATTATAAAACCGGACGATGCGAACTGCATCACGTCTGAACACCAACTGAGCCTTGCGTGACCTACCGAAGCGGCAAAACCAAAGGGGTTCACATTACATACTTGAACCAAGGTTGAGTTTTTCAAGGTTCTTTAATATATAAAGTACATTAATGTAAACTTTACTGGTTTATTATTATTATAAATGTATGATTGATGTATTTAATTTAAATGTAATAAATTTGTTAGTACAAATAATGCATAGAAACAACATTTATTCGTTCAGATTACCGTTAACGCTCATACTTAAACTAGCTGTAAGTGGAATTCTGTCTTAAGGCAATTAAGGCATCGTGCCTTAAGACAAATTGCTGGAACTTCCCGTACCAAAAATTATTATTTTTTTAAAAACGATTAATATTTTTGAAAAAAATTTACTTCGAAAAAATAAGATTTTTGACAAACAATTAGACAAAAAATTACTTTTTTTTGAAAAAAAAATTTTTTTTTTAATTTTTCTCTTTATTTTGATATATTTTGAAAGATCTAAACTTTTTTTCAAAGCAATCGTACTGCTTTAACTGCATAAAAACGAAACATCAAACCGCGTAAGCGCCGCGTCGACGTCTAACGCGTAAACATTGGTACGGAACCCATAGGAAAGTAAACCAAAATTATACTTATTGTTAAAATCTCTATGAAATATCTGATCATTTTTGACCGCCAAATGGCATTTTTTTTTACTTTTTTCATTAGATCTCCGAAACCGCTAGACCTGCCTTTATGAAAATTTGATCGGTTCTTTACCTTGTCAATACAAGTAAAATGTTTTTTGAATTATTAAAATCGGACGCTCCGTTGTCTTAAAAACTGAGTTACCGTTTTCGGCACTTTTTGCCCCGTATCTTCGGAACGGCTAGACCTGACTTCGCCAAAAACTAATCAGCACGTCTCCTTATCAATACGAATCGAATGTTTTTTGAATTATTCAAATCGGTGTTGATCGGTGTTCCCGAAATCGTCGACGAAAATTTGTATCCGCACATACATACACACGCACACACACACACACACACACACACACACACACACACACACACGCACACACACACATACATCCATTTTTTCTAAGGTATGCCAAAATATTCAGAAACCTTTGAAACGTCGAGAAATGCAAAAATTTTCATTTTCGATTTTTTTGCGATTACTATAACTTGCCCTACGGGAAGTTAATTATATGCTTACTCAATCGTAGAGTTTTTCAAGGTTCTTCAATATATAAAGTACATTAAAATAAACTTTACTGGTTTATTATTTTTATTATTTTTTGTTTTCAACTAAACACATTTTATAAAGATTTTATAAAGATTGATAAAGAGTGATGTATGCAGGGCTGGTGCTACCTTGAATGCAATGCATGCAAAAAATACGGGCGCGCGCCTTAGGGGGCGCTAAAACGAGATTTGGATATGAAATTTATAATATAGTTTTTCAATATCATTCAAGAAATATATACTTTTCTTTCATCTTCTACTAATCTATGGATAATATTTTTAAAATACGTTAAAAATTTCACTTTAAAACAATAAATAGGAAAGTAAAGATGAATACATACTATTTGTCCCTTACGATATCAATTAGGAGAAGTTTACGATGCAATTTTAGATATTTTAATTAATGAAAAATAAATTAAAATAATCCAACATAAAATGCCAATGCTATGTTTAATAATGAAAGGCTACAATTTTTTTAATCTATGCTTTGCTCGATAGAATAAATTTGTATAAAATCTTCATAATAAATAAATAAAATGTTTCAAAACCCAAATATTAATATTACGCAAGCGTTAGAAATAATTGAAAATTTAAGAATATTTTTGCAAGCAATAAATAACATATTGAAATTTTTGGATGTGTTGAAAAGTTTGAATTGAAAATAAAAATTTAAAAATAGTTCGGTAGTGCGACAACGATAGAAAACACAAAAACATGATTATGAGCACCCGCGAATTGCCTCGATCTTCTGAATAATTTTAAAATCAATGTATTTTTGCGCTTTTAGTTTACATATATCTATTTTTTTGTGTACTAAACACAGAATTATTAAAGAGTATTTTAAAAACATTTTGTATATTTTTAATGATTAACTGTTAAAAGAGTAAAAATAATACGGGGGGGGGGGGTGCTAGAAAAATAATGGCATGCGGGCGCAGAGGACCCCAGGACTGGCCCTAGATGTATGTATATTTAATTTAAATGCAATGATTTTGTTAGTACAAATAATGCGTAGAAATAATATTTTTCTCACAGATTACCGTTAACGCGCATACTTAAATTATATGCTTACTCAACCGTAGAGTTTGTCAAGGCTCTTCAATATATAAAGTACATTAAAGTAAACTTAACTGGTTCTTTATTATTATTATTATTATTTTATGTTTTCAACTAAACACATTTTATAAAGATTGATTAAGAGTGATGTATGTATATTTAATTTAAATGAAATAATTTTGTTAGTACAAATAATGCGTAGAAGACATATTTTTCCTACAGATTACCGTTAACGCGCATACTTAAATTATATGCCTACTCAATCGTAGAGTTTTTCAAGGTTCTTCAATATATAAAGTACATTAAAGTAAACTTTACTTGTTCATTATTATTATTATTTTCTGTTTCCAACTAAACATTTTTCATAAAGATTGATAAAGAGTGATGTATGTAATATTAAACTTAAATGAAATAATTTTGTTAGTACAAATAATGCATAGAAATGATATTTATTCCTACAGATATTACCGTTTACGCGCATACTTAAATTTTATGCTTACTCGATCATAAATTCTATTTTACATATTCAAATTGAAATAAAATTCATACAAAACTATATGAATTTTACTTTAATTTAATATGCATGTATTATATATATATATATATATATATATATATATATATATATATATATATATATACAGGGACGATCCTGCCTTGCATGCAATGCCTGCAAAAAATGCGGGCGCACTCCTTAGGGGGCGCCAAATCGAGTCTCGGAATTTAAATTTATAATATGTTATTTACATTTTTTATTATAATAAACAACTAGGGATACGGAGACATAAAAACCATTCCAATGTTATATTAGTAAAATCAATTAACCGATTAATAACTGTGCAAATTAGTAAATAACAGCTCTATTTATTGCTTAATCTACATATTCAATTTTTTCTTTGTTTGAAGTTACCGTGGAATCGAAAAAGAAATTATCTAGTGTATCTAGTGTTCAATTCCATAAGCGCAAACCTGCGAAAGATTAAATTAATTATTGGGCATTATTGACGAAAAATTGCGAGCTGATTTAGTTGAAACAGAACTTGTTAAAAAACAAACATATTATAATCGGGAAAATGAACAATGGGGAGTTAAAAAATGGCATGTTTATTCCGAGAAATTGAAATGTAGGCCATAGATGAGAAAAGATTGTAGCCTTTGGTTTTGTTCCAAATGTTTCGCATTTGATGATCTTTGAATGTTGAAGACATGCGTGGTTAAGGTTATATAAATGGAACAAATATGAAAAATGAAAATAAAATTTATTTTGGAACGTAAATCTTAAGATTCTTTTTATACCTAGTGGTGTCCATCCATACTCTAAATTTAATAATTATTAAGTACGCAGAAATAATACATATCAAACATTATTAGTTTTTTTTTTCAAAATAGTTCAAAGAATGTGTAATTTCTTTGCATTTTTACTGATTTTTGGACAATACTTCTAAAATACGTTAAAAATTTAACTTTAAAACAACAATCTGATTCTCTGCAAGGAATGCAAGGATGAATACAGTTCGGCTCTTTACGATATCAATAAGGAGAAGTTTACGACGCAATTTTGGATATTGTAAATAATGAAAAATTAAATTAAAATAAAAATCCAACACGAAATACGAGTGTTATGATTGAAAATTTAAAGCTAGTTTTTTTAGCATGATTTGCTCAATAGAATAAATCGCACAATAAATAAGTAAAATGTTTCAAAACCCAAATATTAATATTGCACATACGTTAAAAATAATTGAAAATTTAAAAATATTTGATTATAATCAACCCGCAAATTGCCTCGATTTTCTAAATAAATTTAAAATCAATGTGTTTTATACGCTTCTATAATATATCTAATTTTTTGTGTAGTAAATTCAGAATTGAAAATTATTTTAAAAAAAATATGTAAATATTTATGTAATTTTAATGATAAACTGTTAAAATTAATTAATTAAAATTAAAATTAATAGGGGGGGCTGTATATATATATATATTATATATATATATATATATATATATGTAAATATATTGTATAATTTTGAATTTCATATTCACAAAGTCAAATAATCGCGCATAACATCAGTAAATAAGCCATAAATTATATATTAGCCGTTCCGATCGCCTATAATCCAACCCTTCATTCAGTGGTAATTAAAATAAAATTTTAAAACTAAAACATTTGCGATTGAAACATTTATGCAGAATGAAAAATATATGAATAAATAAATAAAAAGTAGTTACAATTTGTTAATGTTAGTGTTAAAAACAGAAAATTCAATAATCCATAGTAAGGGAATACACTACACTGTGATATAAGCATCATTAATAATGTACTTGCTCTTAACATAATACTAAACATAATTCTGAAATTAGTTATAATTACAAATGAAATATTTATATCATATTCTCATACCATGGATGATTAATTTTCGTTATGATTAACAAATTTGCAAGTACTTTATTTTTTTATTTTGCATAATTTTTTCAATCGCAATTGTTTTAGTTTTTATTTTTTTTTCCACTGAATGAAGACTAGGATTATAGTCGAAATATATTGATTTATATATATATTTAAGCAGATAGGTCGATAGGTAGAATCTTTTTCAGGAACTTTAAAATTATTATTTTTAACTAACCACTCACTAGAAATCAAAATACATAGTTTTGTTGAAAGAGGAAAGCTTCAGTAATTTGTGTGGAAATCGAATATATAAATGTGTATATTGATTTATATATCCTTAGATGTATCCTAGCCCGAGTAATTTGTGTGGAAATCGAATATATCAATGTATATATTGATTTATACATCATTAGATGTATCCTAGCCCGAGTAATTTGTGTGGAAATCGAATATATAAATGTATATATTGATTTATACATTGTTAGATGTATTCTAGCTCGAGTAATTTGTGTGGAAATCGAATATATCAATGTATATATTGATTTATACATCCTTAGATGTATCCTAGTCCAAGTAATTTGTATGGTAATCAAATATATCCAGTGGTGTTGTGCTAATATTTTTTTTGCTGGAACGCTAAAATTTAGAAACCGGTTCATAAACCGGTTCAAAAACCGGTTTTTATGTTTGTTCCGGATCCGTTCGAAAAGAAAAGAAACAAAAATCATTACAAAACTTATTTTGTGCACATATGTATGCTTATTACAATAATAGGAACAGTTAATTAAAATTAGTTGAATTTTAATTTATAAAAATCACTTATTAAATCATTTTCTGTATGTAGCGATTTAAAGAAAAAATCTTTTTGCCGGAACGCGTTCCGGTTCAAAAATGATTTGCCGGAACGACGTTCCGGCGCGTTCCGGCTCGACAACACCACTGAATATATCAATGTATATATTGATTTATACATCATTAGATGTATCCTATTCCAAGTAATTTGTGTGGAAATCGAATATATCAATATATATATCGATTTATACATCATTAGATGTATCTTAGCATGAATAATTTATGTGGAAATCGAATATATGAATGTATATATTGATTTATACATCCTTAGATGTATCCTAGCCCGAGCAATTTGTGTGGAAATCGAATATATCAGTGTATATATTAATTTATACATCTTTAGAAGTATTTTAGCCTGAGTAATTTGTGTGGAAATCAAATATATCAATGTATATATTGATTTATGCATCCTTAAATGTATCCTAGTCCAAATAATTTGTATGGAAATTAAATATATTAATGTATATATTGATCTATACGTCATTAGATGTATCATAGCCTGCATAATTTATGTGGAAATGGAATATATAAATGTATATATTGATTTATACATTTTTAGATGTATCCTAGCTCGAGTAATTTGTGTGGAAATCGAATATATCAATGTATATATTGATTTATACATCATTAGATGTATCCTATCCTGAATAATTTGTGTGGAAATCGAATATATCAATGTGTATATTGATTTATACATCCTTAGATGTATCCTAGTCCAAGTAATTTGTGTGGAAATCGAATATATCAATGTATATATTGATTTATACATCCTTAGATGTATCCTAGTCCAAGTAATTTGTGTGGAAATCGAATATATCAATGTATATATTGATTTATACATCATTAGATGTATCCTAGCCTGAATAATTTGTGTGGAAATCGAATATATCAATGTGTATATTGATTTATACATCCTTAGATGTATCCTAGTCCAAGTAATTTGTGTGGAAATCGAATATATCAATGTATATATTGATTTATACATCCTTAGATGTATCCTAGTCCAAGTAATTTGTGTGGAAATCGAATATATCAATGTATATATTGATTTATACATCATTAGATGTATCCTAGCCTGAATAATTTGTGTGGAAATCGAATATATCAATGTGTATATTGATTTATACATCCTTAGATGTATCCTAGTCCAAGTAATTTGTGTGGAAATCGAATATATCAATGTATATATTGATTTATACATCCTTAGATGTATCCTAGTCCAAGTAATTTGTGTGGAAATCGAATATATCAATGTATATATTGATTTATACATCATTAGATGTATCCTAGCCTGAATAATTTGTGTGGAAATCGAATATATAAATGTATATATTGATTTATACATCCTTAGATGTATCCTAGCCCGAGTTTTTTGTGTGGAAATCGAATATATCAATGTATATATTGATTTATACATCATTAGATGTATCCTAGATTGAATAATTTGTGTGGAAATCGAATATATAAATGTATATATTGATTTATACATTCTTAGATGTATCCTAGTCCAAGTAATTTGTGTGGAAATCGAATATATCAAAGTATATATTGATTTATACATCATTATATGTATCCTAGCCTGAATAATTTAAGTGGAAATTGAATATATATATATATATATATATTGATTTATACATCCTTAGATGTATTGTAGCACGAGTAATTTGTGTGGAAATCAAATATATAAATGTATATATTGATTTATACATCATTAGATGTATCCTAGCCCGAGTAATTTGTGTGGAAATCGAATATATCAATGTATATATTGATTTATACATCATTAGATGTATCCTAGCCCGAGTAATTTGTGTGGAAATCGAATATACGAATGTATACGATTGATATATAAGTCCTTAGATGTATCCTAGCCTCAGAATTTCCTAGCTCCAGTAATTCCTCAGTAATTGAATATATTGATTTATACATTGTAAGATGTATCCTAGCTCTTAAATATTAACATTACCTCTTAATTCCAGTTTAGGATCCCTAAGTCTTGCAATGATGATGTCTGGTCGACCATCAAATTCTCGTCTGTTTAACACTTCCCTGATAGTTTTGTGATCTTGTATGATAATAGTAGGAAAGGCCCCAGCAAAAAATCCCAGAATTTTAGTTTTGTAAAATTTGCACAAACGTATAAATGCTATGTGCAGAAAATGATAATTGGCCAAGAGTATGAACCAATAACTTCCCCATATAGGCAAGCGTGGAGGTCCTACAACATTTGAATTATTGTTATAAACTTGTATAATGATTTAATTTGATATTTGTCCGCAAATTTCGGAATTTCTGTCGTCCCATCTGCTGTATTCTTAAAGATATTTTATTACTGAACCACAAATCTCCTTTTCACTTAGAAGATTATTATAGATATGGTTTGTTCTCTTCTTTATGTACAATTATAAATAAATAATTATTTTATACACTTATACAATTGTTGAACTTAGAAACTTTAAGAAACATACGTTTTACTTATGCGCGAATCTGCTTTATGGCATTTTGATATACTAATAAGGTAGATAATTTCTCAAATAAAAAAATATGTATATAGTAACAATTATTTATTTAGTACTTTAATATGGATTTAAATAATTATGATACCTGGCGGAAAATTTTTGGGTCTATCTGTTGAGTTTCTGTATAACCAGTATATAATTAAAGCTATGGCAAGGCCTATTATAAATGGGCTTGCCATTTTTACTGAAAGTCTTTAAATTATTATTTCACTATTTATAAATAAAATTTTAATGAAGCACTAATAACTGAACCTAAAATTATTATTATTTTCGAAGCACTTACAGAAAACATTTATTAACCTAATTCTAAACCAAATTCGGAATAGCTGGAAGTTATTATAAATGCTTGCATGATTTTTAAGAACAATGTTATTTATAAGAAATTTTAATATTGTTTTTTTACGTTAAATAATTGCGCATTTCAAATAATATACCGGATATTTAACATTCTTAAATGATGACGGTCGCACACATGAAATCAGACATAGGTATTTTATACGAAATTTATTGATGCATACTTACAATCGCTGCTTAATTTGCAGCAACATATTGAGAAAACAATACAATGTTTTTATGAACTATCATTTATCTAGGAAGTAAAACTATACACTAAAACTTAAAATATATTTTTATATATTTTTTTATCTTGCTTCGTATTTTATCCATACATCCTTTGGTGTCAATATGAATCCTGATAGTTCTCCGTGAGGTGGTGGTTTGGGCTTTCCGGGTGCAGGTGAAAACGTAAAGTTCTGAATGAGACAGGCAAACATAAGAAATAGGCCTTGACGGGCAAATGTTTCGCCAGCGCATAGCCTTTTCCCTGAAACCGTAGTAATTATTGGATAATATGAAATTTTGTAATATTGTAAAAGAAAAGAAAATCAACACTAAGATTTATGCAAGAAGACATTGTTGAATCAATCAATCATTATAAACATATAATATATATATATATATATATATATATATATATATATATATATATACAATGTATGTACAGAAATCCAAGACTCTACCATTTAATATATATATATATATATATATATATATATATATATATATATTAGGACGGGTCGATTTAAAAGTGGCTTAGGCACATATGATATTCGGATACTAGAGATCAAAATAAGATTCTTCACTGAGAAACCATACCTCTAAAATGAATTCTGATGTCCCATGAATTGACCCAAAGTTAAGGGTTGAATTTTAAAAAAAACCTACCATTAACTTTGGAAGGCCAATCCACCCATGCCCATGGTTTTTCACAAAATAATAACGAATGTATATTATTCAACTAATGCTAAATATGAGTTCTATTGCTGCATTTTTAACACAGATAACACATTCGATCTGGTATTTTTCGGAAATATTCATCAGTAACTATTTATATAATTTTTATTTTGTAATTTTGCTTTTTTTAACTTAAATTACTTTTTTATTTGCTTTTTTTATATTTTTTACAATTTTGCCAGGGTTAATGTTCAGTTTCTATATAACTACTTTAATGGCGCACGCCCACCCAGGTGTAAGCTTTTAAAGTGGTTAAATAAAAAGAAAAACTGCTGAATCTTACTTAAAATACACATTACATTTTATAAAACAATTAAATCAAGTATAGTTAAAATTTATATTAAAGCTTCGCAATCTAAATCATAGTGCTCAGTTCTCAACTCACAACCCAAAAAACTAACAACTAACGACAACAACGAAAGAAAATACTTTTGTTATGGACTTTCAAAGATTACAGTTCATCTGTTGATAGCAAAGTCGTAAAAATCATGGACCACCTTTTACTCTACTTTCAAATTTTTGTTGAACATGCTTAACTTTACTGGCTTTTGAGATATCGGTGGTGGACCTTATTAGCTTCGGACTTTTATATATTACTGAAGATTCTTATCTTTTTCAATTTGTAGAGTAATTTAATGAAACATGAACGATGCCTAACTGTGTCTGAAATGCATAGATTTTGGCATATGGTTTGGAAGGAATTTCTTCCAATTGTAGGACATTTGTCATTTTTCTGCTAAACTCGTTTTATTACTGGAACTGTTGACACATTTTATAGAATGCGATCTTACTAATCAATCTTCAAAATATTTGATTCCAGAGAACTTGTAATTTTGTGTATTGACATTTTTGTAGGTGTGTATTCCAAAATTATGTATTATTATCCGAATATTCTTATTTAAATTGTTGTCTGTTATAACCGAGAATAAATTATTTGACAAAATGTCGCTTTTGATCGATTCCACATTTAGGTCCTTATTTTATATAAAATAAATAAAAAAATAATATAATCTAGAAAATGTTTTATAAATACCATTAAGTATAAAATTATACAAATGAGTTAATTCAGAGCACCGAATTTGAGAAAAATATGATTTGCAAAAAAATAGAGTGACAAAAAGCCAGAAATGTATTTTCATATTAACATTCCAAAAATATGATATTTTGATTATCTAATAACACTTGCGATTCGTTTAATAATGTCTGTATGTATAAATGCAACTTTTGATTAACCTAGTTACTACAATTAAATAATATTTATCTAAAACACTCTGTTAAAAGAAATTGAACATCATCTGTCAAAACGATTTGACATTTGAGGTATGTATGAGTCGCCGTCCATTGTTCCGTTTTAAATTATGCTTTATACAAAAAAATTTAAATTAAAAATGTAAAGTTTCTACGCGATTTTGAAGCAATTTCTCGCCTTTTGCACCACAAAATCTCATTACTGTTTTATTGCCATTAATTAATGACCTATAACCACATTTCATTCATTTTTATTAATTTGTTCTTCCATACTGGTCTGTGCTTCGGCTTTTAATTCTATGTCTTTCATCTTGTCGCCTAAGTCATCCATCATCTGCATTCTTCTTCTTCTTATTTCTTTCAGTCCTGCTTATTTTGCCTTTGATTACGTCATGTAGAAGGTATTTTTTTGCAGAACTTTATCTGCTTCATTATCTCCAGCAACGCATTGTAACACTTTCCAGATAGTTTTTTTTACGGCTTTTCTTAACACAGGTAACACATTCGATCTGGCATTTTGCGGAAATATGCATTAGTAACTTTTTATATAATTTATATTTTGTAATTTTGCTTTTAGAGTTCATAGCGCCTATCCGTACAGAGTTATGTCGCAGACATAACACTTTATTAGTCTTTTCCGCAAGTCAAAACTCAGTTTGCTAGTCAGAAGCGTTCTTTTTTTCGTGAATGCCGTCTTGGCGCTTACGATCACATTTTCCAATTCTCGATTTTTTACCGTAATTCTCAGAGGCTCCGCTTGTTTCGATATTCTCTTTACTCGATTTGTTAATATCCATTTCGTATGTTCTATTTTTGACGATTCTGCTCATCACGTTTTGTAGCTTGGATTTGGTTTTCGGTATCATTACAAGATTATTTGCGTACTTTATGGTGTTGATTCTTCTTCCTCCAATCAAAAAATTTCCAGTATCTCCAAGTACCTTGTTGACGAACCATTCTTCGTACAGGTTGAATAAGATCGGTGACATGCAGCATCCTTGCCGCACTCCTCTTCCTATTTTAAGGAAAAATTTTTACGTTTGTATCTCCCTAGTTAACTCGAACCTTTACTTTCTGCTTCATATACAGATTCTGAATCGTCCTGCAGACTCTTCAATTGACGCCAATATAGTTCAAAATCCCTATAATCTTACTCCAGTTAACTTTATCAAAGGCAGTCTATGAAACAGAAGCAAATGTTAACGTCTAGACATCTGCCAGACATTATTCTCAGTATTCAAATGCGTCTCTGGCGCCTCTTTCTTTTCTGAAATCAAACTGATTTTCGCTCATGTCGATCTCGATCTTATTTTCGACTCCTCTCGTAAGAATTTTGAACAAAACCTTTTCTGTGTTCAATGTCAAACTGCTCGTCCTTTTGTCACTGCACTTGGTTTGCTTTCGGCGTTTTCAGAAGACTATATTTGATTCAGTAGTTCAGTCAGCCTTTTAATCCGTTGTGGCCCAACTCTTTCAGCAGATCCACCGTCCTTAAAGCTCACTTCTCAATATGCACGGTTCTTTGTCCTCTTTCTCTTCTTTGATCTCAATATTGTCGGAAAAATTATCTTTTTTGTACAATTTCTTAATGTATTTCTTTGATACGTTAATTTTTTTTTTTGTTTTTCGTCACTATTTCTATGATCGTCTTTTATTTCGTATGTTTTTGGGATTTTTCATTCTGTCTAGTCCATCTCTTTCTTTGCCTTCGTCTTCTCCGTTTCTTGCCTTTGTTCAACCATTGTCTTCCAGCGTTTCCAGCAGTACACTTTTTACCATCTTCCAATAATTCTCTACAGTTTCTGCCCTATCTTTTATTACACAGAATTTTATCTACTTTTTTCTCCTCAATTCAACTTTATTATTTCTCAAGTTTTCCAGATTCCATCTGTCTCCCCCCATTTTTTCTATTATTCTTTAGATTTGTTTCTATAGGCCGTCAACAAATTATGATCGGAGTCTTTATCGACCGCTGAAAAAGTCTTAAGGCCCACCATGCTGTTTCTGAATGTTTTTTACGATGATGTAGTCAATTTGATAGCGTTTGCTGTCTCCCGGACTTTTCTAAGTATACAGTTTTGTTTACGCTTTTTGAACTACGTGTTTGTGATCATTACGTAGATTCTTCTGCTCAATACGTATTTATTGACTATCTTTTCTTTGGATCCTTTACCGACTACTCCACAATAATCTCCCATGATCACCACGTTGACCTTTCCTTTGCTTTCATAAGACAACATTTCGTCTATCTGCTCAGACATTTCAGACTCTAACTCCGCCTCGTACACCTGTTAAACCAGCACGTCCATCGGCTCCGTTTTCAATTTCACACTCATCAGACGATCCGAAGATAACTCACAAAGTTCACATTCAGCACACGCCTCATCGACTTGTTCCTTACCATGACTGCCACTCCTCTCTCAGATTTGTCTCCTTCGAAGTGGTGTTTGGCGAAACTTTTCGATTCGGTTTCACCCTGCCCTTGTTACTTTACCTGTCTCAATTTTTTTCTTACCTGCACCAAATGGCATGGTAATATCCTTCTTCTTCAGCATTCCTCTGGAGTCTAAAAATCTTTCTGGTCTAAACGCTTCACCGTCTCCCCAAAGTTCAGGATCTCTGTGCATATTCCAGAGATTTGTTAAAACCATTGTATTCTGAAATAAGTAATTAATACATTGAGTGATGAATATCAAAAATAATAAAATTATTATTCCAATCTACTTTAGGTATGTCGTATCCGTTCAAGGTGGTGTCAGTTTGACAACGATGTGGTAAATTTAAGGGAACCAAAGTTTCCAATCTCAGCACTTCACGTAAACAAGACTCAGTATATGGCATACTAAAATATTATTATTTTCAATTAAACCATCAACAAAATTCATTCAATATTGAAATAATATTATAATAAATTGCATAACCTATTTTTAAAATTGTTCATAAACATGAATTCACTTAATTTCTTCATGTTTTTGACCTGGTTAAAACACTATAATTGTGCTTATTTGTTTAAGATAAAATTATAAATTTTTGTTACACATTAAGTTTATTTAACATAATTATAAATAATCCGCTTAACTTAATTTTTACGTTATTATTGTTTTTTATTATTGTTTTCTTCTATTTCATCTACAAAATTCAATGTTAACTTAAATGACATTGTAATAAGTTGCATTAGTTACAAACTTCCCGAAGGAGAAGTTTGTTTTCATAAAAAATACGATTCGCTAATTTTATGTTTTCTTGACGTTTCAAGTCATTCTGAACCAAATGAGACCAAGTTTGGAAAAAGTATGTGTGTGTGTTCGCGTGTGCGTAAACAGATTTTTTGGCGTAAATCGACGTTTTCTCAAAAACGGCTGGATCGATTTCAAAAATTTATACGATATAAATTGATGAGGACTATTGTTTGTCAGTCTTGTGCAACGATCGGCCAAGCCGTTTCTTTATAAATAACAAAAAAGTGAAAAAAAATTTGTCCACGTTTTAGCCCGCAATTTTGAATCGATTTTGAAAATTCAAAAACCGTTCGAAAGATATTGGTTGGAAATCGTGCTGATTAGTTTTTAGTAGAGATCAATCGGTCGGGCCGTTTTCTTGTAATAAAGTGTTAAAAAAACTTTTTTTTGACGATTATTATTATTATTTTTTTTGACAGTAGATACCATAGTCTTATAGAGCATACTAAAACATTACGGCCCTACGACAACTCGTTTAACTTTAAAAATTTGTCAAAGTTTGCAAAAATTAATATGGTTTTTTGGCATTTGTCAAATTTAGACCTTTGATCGACTTTAGAAACCGATTCAAAAATTTAAAAGCTATTTGATGAATCTTGATGAGGATTATCATTTCTCAGTTCTGTGCGACGATCGGCCGAGCCGTTTCTTTGTAATTTGGAAAAAAGTGTTTAATTTAATTTAAGCTCATACTTAAAAAATCAAAAATTGTTCGAAAGATATTAGTTGGGAATGATACCGATTAGTTTTAGGGGAAAATCTATCATCGAGCCGTTTTCTTATAATTAACTGTTGAAAAAAAAATTTAGCCGATTTTTAAGGAACTTTTTTGACAATATATATCATGGTCTTATAGAACTTACTGAAATATTACGTCCTTACGACAAGTAGTTCAATTTTAAAAAATCATCAAGTTTGAAAAAATGAGTAGTTTTTTTAGCATTTGTTTAAATTAAAATTAGACGATTTACTTGGTATAACGATAGAGTACTTGGTCTTAATGAACATATTAAATCATTAAAGTTCTATGAAAACTTGTTCAATTATAAAAATTTTTGATTTTTGAAAATTTGTTTTTAGAAAATACTCCGAGTTAAACGAAACACTCGGGAGTACTTTTAATCATTCATAAATGAATTTATTTTTTATTGATTAAGTCGATTATTTACACATCGGGAAGTTCATCTAACTTGTCTTAAGGCAAAATACCAAGATCAACTAGTTTTTAAAACTCTTTCACATTCAACATGAATTTGTTTAATATTCTCATGCACTTAATGGTTAATGGTAAAATGATAAATTTAATTTAAATTTAACAATAACAAGTACACGCCAACTTGATTTAAGATATTTTTTAAAAAATCAGCTTAACTTAATGTTTTTTATATTAAATAATATCGCTATCTCCAGGCCCTAGTATATAATGGTTTATACTGGCGGAATGCGCCTCTTTTTCGCTTCACTCATAAAAGAAATAACATGTTGTATTACTGAAAGTCACTACTCTATTTTAAAATTATAAACATCATTTGATATTTCATCAGTGCGAGAACACAACATAAACACAGAAAACAAGAAAATAAAATACATTGGACAAAAAATGAAAAAAAAATTAAAATGAGGTGGAATAAAGAGATTCAAGATTAATTGTGTTGATAATAAATAATTTATCTGAGCGAGAACACTATATATACCGAAAACATAAGACTAATCACCATATTCACCTTAAAACAGGGCAAAAATATTGAATATGTAAAAGTTATCATAAGCATTTATTTTTATCACGACGGCTGGAGATATTTAATCATAACAATCAATATTTCGTATGAGCTAACAAAACTTACAATTCGTTAGGAAGAATATCTAATATCAGTATTTGAAAATAATAAGATTCTAGAAAAGTGTCCGAGAAGGGAAAATATTACAAACTAATGGACTTAAAAACGGAAACTCGTTAAATCGTTCAATTTCTTTTTACCACAATTATTTGTGCTAATATAAGCCTACCTATAAGCCTCATTCCGTATCTAAATTTTTAAATATTTAATTTAATATGTGGAAATGTAATTACTGTGGCCTGTCATCCAAATTTGGCAGCCTGCCCCTTCCGACGACCCTCTCAATTTCCTCCTGAATTTTTTCTTGGACATCTGGTCTGTACATCAGATGGAAAAATAAATATGATAATTGAGCACCAATAGCTGTGGTTGTAGGAAATAGAAAATCGACTCCTACTAATATAAGCTGATCAACTGAAAATTGATATTTATATATTCTCAATTATTGAATATATTTTTTGTATTTGTTTTACAATATTTAATTTACTTGAAAATGAGATGCCGTCTTTTTCTGCAATCGTTGGATCCTGCTGCCTTTTATGCATTTCATTCAAATATATATCAACGAAGTTTCTTTCATCGCCGTCCTGATGTGTGTCCACCACGTTCTGCACACATTGCTTAAAATAACAAGATTACTATCAGTATATAAATAACTAGTTTTTAACGATTTAATTATAAACTAGTTAATAGTCAGCAGCTAATAATTAAACTTATTCTATTAGTAATTTTGCGCCATTTTACCCTGTTATAGGAATTTCAAATTGATATTGCATATTTTTTGTTCTATTTGCAAACACATGTGACAATATATATTTGTTTATAACTATACAATATGTACTTTGTAAACTAAGCAGTACTTATGGCTTATACATAATGTATTCATTCTGAACGACATCCTATTTTTTCAAAACTTTCACCTTATCTTTGGCGATGATATAAAATTTCTTACCTTCATGAAATCATATATAAATTCATGACCATCTTTTAATTCATTATATCCTGAAAAATTTGGTAATAAATGTCTTAACCAAGGAGTCTGAGAGAGCGCACGGCCCATGTCATCTCCTGCTCTTTGGAAGATCATTGCGCCTCTGGCTACTCGAATCAATTCATGATGTTTGCTTCTGGGCCATCTTTCACGCGAAAATACTGCCATGAAAGAATTCATGAACGCCACAAAGAATATATCCGGCATTAAAACTAATCCATTTTTGCAAACTGTCTGCAAAGAAAGTTAATAAAAATTATATTATCATGTAACATTTTTCCTCCTGCAATTGATTTTTTACATCCTCATCTTTTTCTATGGGTCCATTCTTTAATAAATTAATCAGATCGTTCAGTTCCTCGTTAATCATGGCTTCTAATGTTGGACACCTTCTCCCAAATCCGAAATCTCTCATGTAACGCAAAGCAAAACGTCGCTGCTCGTGCCAAAATTGACCATCAGTGAAAAATATGCCTGAAATTTTATTTCTACCTATATATTACATGCTGTACATTTTTTCTACTATTTTCCTTAGTTTACATTATGAATTCTTCCATTCAACGCCGTATGTATATTATTAATTGTTTTATTTTGGAACTGAGATAGATGAATTATTTAATAACAATATTAAAATTAAATTGAATGATCAACTACTTAATTCTTTTACATAAATTTAAACATATGTAAGCATTCAATATGTTTTTTAAAATATACTTCAATATGTTTTTTTATAAATACCAAAGCTTATAATTTTACTCTATCGAAGTACATCAAATAGAATCTCGTTGAAGTCCAAATACGTTTTTGGTTATAGCTTTTGTACCTCTTGTATTGTGGCTGGGGTCTCTCATCCTGGCTATAATTATGTCCATCCGGGCGTCGAATTCCCTCCTGTTCAATACTTCTTTGACGGTCTCATAATCTTGAACTATCACTCCCGGAAAGGCTCCGGCATAAAATCCAATTATCTTCGATTTGTACAATTTTGCTATTTTCATAAACGCTATGTGCAGGAATTTGTAATTTGCTAATAAAATTAGCCAATAGCTTCCCCATATTGGCAATCGTGGAGGACCTGTAAGATACATGATGCAAGTTTATACTCTGTGATAAAGGTACAAATTATTATCTACTGAATGAAAAATAATTTTTATATATACTCATTGAAAAATCATAAAATGTCGATTTGTTCACTAAAAATTTGTTCAATTATTAATAGAATACTATATCTTCAGTGGTGTTGTGCTAATATTTTTTACCGGAACGCTAAAATTAAAAAACCGGCTCTTATATTTATTACGGTTCTGTTCGGAAAGAAAAGAAACAAAAATCAATATAAAACCTATTTTGTGCATATAAATGTATGTTTAATACCAATTTCATGAATTGGTAATAAAAAATAGTTAAATTATAAAATACAAATTCACTTCTCAAATCATTTTCTGTTTTGTAGCGATTTTGTTTAACTCTTTCAAATCCGAAACTACTAACCTTTTTCGAATAATTTGTTAATCCTGATCTACTTTTAATTTCAATCTAACCCCAGATTAAAGTATGAATTTTAATATTATTCTTAAACTGTGCTATATATTTTTAACTACTTGCATATAGAGAAAATCTGAACATAAACAAAATATTTTTGGCACTTTTTGTCCCGTATCTTCGGAACGGCTAAACCTGCCTTTGCCAAAAAATTAACCATCACGTCTCCTCACCAATAGAAATCGAATGTATTTTGAATCATTCAAATTAGTTGATCCATGTTCTCTAAATCATCGACAAAAAATTGTACCCGCGCATACATTCATACATATACGCACACACATACCCACATACAACCCATCGGGAGAAGCCAAACTCCCACCGGGCGCGTCCCCAGGTGGCGGATAGGGGGTGTCCTAACCGGTCGTAAGATTGGCGGATTGGGGCGAAATAAAATAGCCCTCGCGGACCAAATTAGGCATTAGGTGATCGTTCTAGTATTATGTAAGCAAATTTAGTACAATTATTTAACCCCCCCCCATCCCCCTTTGTCAGCAAAAGTAAGCAAAGCTGTCACCAAAATGTCACCCAAAATAAGAAACCAATAACCCCCCCGCCCCCCTATAGTGCTTACGTAATACTTGAACGGCCCCTATATATTTTCATTGAATCTTATTAATTCTATATAGATGGGAATTATTTTATATCATTAATATGAACAAAATAATTTTTTCAAATATTAATTTTTATGATTAATTTATTACTATTTTCAATATTCATTTGTATTATGATTCACTTTTATGAATAAAAAATTTTTCATTCAATAATATTATAATTATATTTGAAGCCATTATGTGAAACTAAATACAATATATTTTTTTTACTTATATTTGTTATTGACTTATGGATGAAACTTGTGAAATGATTGTTAAAAGTATATTTTAGAAAGTAACTTCAAGTTTTCAATATTTTTCACATATTCAAATTTGATGCTCCATTTATTTTTAAAAAAGTACTTTTACAATAATCTATTTAATTTTTTAACTGTTTAAAAATGTTATTTTAACATTTGATACTAACTTTGTTTCAAACTAATTTTGCTGTTGCATTTATTAAAATATTGAATAAATCTATTTCTGTTATAGCTTATGTTGCATACATAGCTTAATATATATTTCTGTTTGTTGGCTTAGCTTTGTCTAGCGTTTTTACAATATTTGAATTAATTTTTATAAATACTTAAATATACTTTTGTGAAAAAATTATTTCATTTTTTCTATATTTTTATATATGTTATTTTCATGTGACAAAAACTTTAACTTATAATATATATTTTAGAAATCTTGTAATATTTTTAATTGTACAAAACTGCATCTGTACAATTATTATGTGCGAGTATGTTTGTAAGTCTTTTTTGAACATAATTTTGCTAACTGAACTTATATAATTTATTTTTGCAACTGTACAAACTATTTCTGCTAAACTTTTTAATCAGTTGCATATATTAAATTTTTTATCATTCCTTAATGCATATTAAATCGATCAAGTGTTTTTGTTTACGACATATATTATAATGCCTTTTTATGTATTTTGTATATAGTTCCATTCTATTAACTTGTAGATTCAATAATATTATTATTATATTTTAAACGATTTAGTAAACTAAATAAATGCAATCTATTTTTTTACTTACAGTTGTTATTGATTTAAAATTTGTCGTTATTAATTTCTCTACTTGTAAATTAAACATTTTGGCTGCGTTTAAGCAGTTAAATAACTAATTAACAAATGAATATTGTTGAATTATAGAATGATTATTAAAAGTATATTTTAGAAAGTACCTTCAAGTTTTCAACATTTTCACTTATTTCTATTACATTTTTGGTGCTTCATTTATTTTTTGAAAAATATTTTTACAATTGTACATATATGACTTTGAATCCATTATTAATAATTATTGAAGTATGAATCTTTTTATAGCATTTGTTGCAGATAATTGTACTTGCTTAGCTTTGTCTAGCGTTTTTTTTTTGATATTCAACTTAATTTTTACTACTTATACTAATGTTTTTAATAATAATGACCATTTTTTTCTCGTCGGGAGAAGCCAAACTCCCACCGGGCGCGTCCCCAGGTGGCGGATAGGGGGTGTCCTAACCGGTCGTAAGATCGGCGGATTGGGGCGAAATAAAATAGCCCTCGCGGACCAAATTAGGCACTGGAGTTGAAGAATAACGTAAAGATATATAAAAAGCTATTTTTCTAAATTTTTTAAAATGAACTATCAATTTTTGACTTTCACCAAGCAATTATTCTGACAAAAAAAATTGAAATATATACATTTCAAATTTTGAATAAATGTATATTAATTTTTTTTATAAAAAATGTGTTTTTACTAGTCATACTATAGCCAAACATTTTAATATTGTGTTTTCATATTGCATTCAAATACTACATCCGTTGCCTTAAGTATTGCATTATAAATTATCCTTGATGTATCTTCGTTTTTTGAAAATCACTTCGTTTTCAGCAATATATAATTGTTTTCAATCAATTGATGAAAAATCATAATATTTTTTTGGATCATTTGTAATTTTTTTGCAATGAATGATTTTAATTTTTTAATCTAATAAATTTTTAATCTTGTTTTTGAAATAAATAGTCAAATATTTTAATATTTTGTCATAATTTATATTGTATATATTTTATGCCATGCAGATTCTGTTAAAAATTTCACACAAATTTAAAGAATTTTCAAAAATTATTTTATCATATTAGATTATTGATATATTATTTGCTTAATTTGCATGTATTTTGAATTTTTACGACTGTACTTTTTTGATATTATTGAATATTTTTCAAAAAATATTTAATATTCATTATATTGAATTAATATTTAATACATAATAAAATTATTTATTTTACTTAATAACAATTTGTTGTTAAATCATATATATTTTAATATTTCAAATATTTTTCAAAGATTTTTTTTTCTTGATCTAAGCGTTTCTTGTATTTGGCTCATCAAGTATTAGATTATTATAAGATTTGCCTGTACTTAATCGAACTTATCATTCTTCTCTTTTACAATTTATAATTAACTGATTTTGTTAATATTTTATATTTTAATTTTTACATATCTGAATATATATTTGAGAGGTTTGCGAGAATAATTTTCTGTAAAAAATAATTCAACTGAATTTTGAGTTTATTATTGATAAAATTCAACCTCACTTTATTTCTACTCTATATTATACCTTTTAAACTTTTTGACAAACTCGATAATTAATAATTTTACATACGTTCACGTTCTTTGATTAAACAGTAAAAATTGTTGCATTTTAATTTTTCACTATACTCTTTTCACTATACTAAATAAGAATATTTGTACGAAAAAACCAAATGCACAATACTATATATTTATAAAAGTATATAAATAATATCAGATACTTTTAATAATTATATTCAACGTAATTTTTTTTATTAAATGACATAATTTTATATGGAACACATAGATTTTTGAAGCTCTATTTTCAAATGCTTTTTGAAATCCGAAACTCGGATTGCCTCTGTTTTACGGGATATTGAACTCAATTATAATTTTCATTTTAAATTCATTTTCATCTGTTATAATATTCTAATATCTTTTGCATTTTTTTTAAACTAGAATTTTCAAATTATTTATACTCATCCATCTCTCTTATGAAATATTGTAAATTATATTATTTTCTTGATAAGGTTAAAACTGCAAAAATTTATTTTCAAACAAATAAAAAGTTTGCAAGCTTTTTTTTGTTAATAAATTGTTTTGCTATTGTATTTTGTTAGTTTTCTGCCTATCATTGATTTAATATTGTCAACAATGACTCAACAATTAATCACACGAATATTTTGCCTGATAATTGCTTACATATTATCAATTACCTTTGTCATTTTTTCAAGTTGTTAATTGTTGTCTATAGATAAAGAATTTCCGTTAGTGGAAATATTGTTGTAATTCTAACAATAAGATGACTAAAATTATCTTTGAATGATATCAATTATGTAAATTACTTTTTTCTAATATATTTAGATACTGAAATATCTAAATCTATTTTATATAGTCTTATATTTTATAATTTAATCAAAAGTTTAATATAACTCATTTTATAATTCAATTTTACAATAAAATTGTGTTTAGTCAGTTATCAGTAAAGAAAAATTTCAATAATAATTTAATTATGAATGATAATTACAGTATTTTGTGTATATATTATTATTGAATCTTATAAATTCTATATAGATGGGAATTATTTCATATCATTATTATAAACAAAATAATTATTTCAAATATTAATTCTCATGATTAATTTATTAATATTTTCAATATTCACTTCTATTATGATTCACTTTTATGAATAAAAAATTTTTCATTCAATAATATTATAATTATATTTGAAACCATTATGTGAAACTAAATGCAATATATTTTTTTTACTTACATTTGTTATTGACTTGTGAATGAAACTTGTGAAATGATTGTTAAAAGTATATTTTAGAAAGTAACTTCAAGTTTTCAATATTTTTTACATATTCAAATTTGATGCTCCATTTATTTTTAAACAAGTATTTTTACAATAATCCATCTAATTTTTTAACTGTTTAAAAATGTTATTTTAACATTTGATACTAACTTTGTTTTTAATCGTACTAAATCTAATACTGGATTTTTATAAATTCGAACTTCTATTCTTTATTTTAAAATATATTTTAATTTTACATTATGCTGTATTAATATTGCTTTATTCCCTATTATTCTTCGTTATATTAATAAACATGATGCTAACTGATCGCTTTTATCAACTGTGAGTTTATAAGAAAATCTTTCTTTAAATCCATTATTAATAATTATTGAAATGGGAGTTTTTTATAGCGTATGTTGCATACACAGCTTTGTTGGAGATAGTTATATTTGCTTAGCTTCGTCTAGCCTTTTTACAATATTTGAATTAATTTTTATAAATACATAAATATACTTTTGTGAAAATATTATACGCATTTTTATAAAATTATTTAATTTTTTCTATATTTTTATATATGCAATTTTAATCATTTTTATGTGACAAAAACCATAAGTTATATATAATATATTTTAGAAATCTTGTAATATTTTTAATAGTACAATACTGCATCTGTACAATTATGATAATCGTGTGTAACATTTTTAATAATTATTATGCTAACTTAAAATTAGATAAATCATTTTTTCAACTGTTCAAACTAATCTTGCTGTTGCATTTATTAAAATATTGAATAAATCTATTTTATTATAGCTTATGTTGCATACATAGCTTAATATATAATTCTGTTTGCTGGCTTAGCTTTGTCTAGCGTTTTTACAATATTTGAATTAATTTTTATAAATACTTAAATATACTTTTGTGAAAATATGATACGCATTTTTGCGAAATTATTTATTTTTTTCTATATTTTTATATATGTAATTTTAATCATTTTCATGAGACAAAAACTCTAACTTATAATATATATTTTATTAATCTTATAATATTGAATTAATTTTTATAAATAAATACATAAGAATACTTTTGTGAAAATACGATACGCATTTTTGTGAATTTTTTTATTTTCTATATTTCTATATTTTCATATATGTAATTTTACAATTATAATCATTTTTGATGTTGCTGTTGCATTTATTAAAATGTTGAATTAAACTTATTTCTATTTTATGAAACGCATTTTTATGAAATTATTTAATTTTTTCTATATTTTTATATATGTAATTTTAATCATTTTTATGTGACAAAAACTTTAACTTATAATATATATTTTAGAAATCGTATAATATTTTTATTAGAACAAAACTGCATTTGTACAATTATAACATGCGAGTACGTTTGTAAGGCATGGCGTGGAACTTCTTTAATGAACATAATTTTGCTAACTGAACTTATATAATTTATTTTTTCAACTGTTCAAACTAATTTTGCTGTTGCATTTATTAAATTATTGAATAAATCTATTTCTATTATAGCGTATGTTGCATACATAGCCTATGATGTAGGTAATTATATTTGCTTAGCTTCGTCTAGCATTTTTACGATATTTGAATTAATTTTTATAAATACTTAAATATACTTTTGTGAAAATATGATACGCATTTTTGTGAAATTATTTATTTTTTTCTATACTTCTATATATGTAATTTTAATCATTTTCATGAGACAAAAACTCTAACTTATAATATATATTTTAGTAATCTTATAATATTGAATTAATTTTTATAAATAAATACATAAGAATACTTTTGTGAAAATACGATACGCATTTTTATGAATTTTTTTATTTTCTATATTTCTATATTTTCATATATGTAATTTTAATCATTTTTGGTGTTGCTGTTGCATTTATTAAAATGTTGAATTAAACCTATTTCTATTATAGCGTATGTTGCATACATAGCTTTGTTGGAGATAATTATATTTGCTTAGCTTTGTCTAGCCTTTTTACAATATTTGAATTAATTTTAATCATTTTCATGAGACAAAATAACTTATAATATATATTTTAGAAATCTTGTAATATTTTTAATAGTACAAAACTAAATCTGTACAATTATAACATGCGAGTATGTTTGTAAGTCTACGGCATCGTGTGTAACTTTTTTAATAAACATAATTTTGCTAACTGAACTTATATATTTTATTTTTGCAACTGTTCAAACTATTTCTGCTAAACTTTTTAATCAGTTGCATATATTAAATTTTTTATCATTCCTTAATGCATATTAAATCGATCAAGTGTTTTTGTTTACGACATATATTATAATGTCTTTTTATGTATCTCGTATATAGTTCCATTCTATTAACTTGTAGATTCAATAATATTACAATCATATTTTGAACGATTTAGTAAACTAAATAAATGCAGTCTATTTTTTTACTTACAGTTGTTATTGATTTAAAATTTGTCGTTATTAATTTCTCTACTTGTGAATTAAACATTTTGTTACTTTATTTTCCCTGGCTGCGTTTAAGAAGTTAAATAACTAATTAACAAATGAATATTGTTGAATTATAGAATGATCATTAAAAGTATATTTTAGAAAGTACCTTCAAGTTTTTAACCTTTTCACTTATTTCTATTACATATTTGGTGCTTCATTTATTTTTTGAAAAGTATTTTTGCAATTGTACATATATGACTTTGAATTCATTATTAATAATTATTAAAGTGAGAATCTTTTTATAGCATATGTTGCAGATAATTGGACTTGATTAGCTTTGTCTAGCTTTTTTTTTCAATATTCAAATTAATTTTTACTACTTATACTAATGTTTTCAATATTAATGACCATTTTTTCCCGTCGGGAGAAGCCAAACTCCCATCGGGCGCGTCCCCAGGTGGCGGATAGGGGGTGTCCTAACCGGTCGTAAAATCGGCGGATTGGGGCGAAATAAAATAGCCCCCGCGGACCAAATTTGGCGTTGGAGCTGAAGAGTAACAGCCACCACGTGTGTCTTTTCGGAAAAAGCTCGAGTAAGGGCGAAATAAAATAGCTCTCGCGGTAAAAAGCAAAAACTCGCCTTTTGGCTGGAAGGGTCGGTCACACCATTTGACCTAGGGTTTCGTACGCTAGCTATATTTCTCATTAACACTTTTACTACTTATACTAATGTTTTTAATATAAATGATCTTTTTTTATTTCTTCAAAAAAAGCAACAATTTTTGTCGAATAACAATATTAAAATTTATATTTTAAACGTATATTTATATATTTTTACTATTTACTAATTTACCTATATAACTTTTCTGATATTATCATTTTTTGGCTTTGTCTATAACGACAACTATATTTGTTAAAAAATATCAAAATTTATCCTATACATTTGAAATATATTTATATTATTTAATACATTTTTCTATATAACTACTTTGCAATTAAAGATTTTAAATTTCATGCATATTTCAAATAACATATCTGTATATGTCGAACTTCAACACAATAGTGTGCAAAAAGTGTTCTCCATTTTTATTTTCATCAACTTCAGGGAAATCGCTTTTTATTTATATAAGAATGTTTTGAATTAAATTTTCATGGGAATCATTTTGATATTATTTTTATCTTTCATACAAGAATTACCATCGGTTCAGCTGGCGACATTTTAAATGTTCTGGCAAACCAAATATTAAACACTAGTTATATTTTCTTATTATATTTATCCTACTTCGATGCATTTTAATCTCCCATTAAATATTTTTACTACTTATACTAATGTTTTTAGTATAAATGACGATTTTTTCCCGTCGGGAGAAGTCAAACTCCCACCGGGCGCGTCTCCAGGTGGCGGATGGGGGGTGTCCTAACCGGTCGTAAGATCGGCGGATTGGGGCGAAATAAAATAGCTCTCGCGGCAAAAAATAAAAACTCCCCTTTCAACAGAAAGGGTTGCTCACACTATAGCTATATTTCTAGATGAATATTTTATTGTAGTTTTTTCAATATTTTTAACGTATATATTTTATTTATACTATTGCGATGCATTTTATTCTCATTAAACACTTTTACTACTTATACTAATGTTTTTAATATAAATGATAATTTTTCTGATTTCTTCAATAGAAGCAAAATTTTTTGTCTAATTACAATATTAAAATTTATATCTTGAATTTGGTATAAACGTATATTTATATATTTACTAATTTACCTATATAAATTTTTTAATATTATCATTTTTTGGCTTTGTCTATAAAGACAACTATATTTGTTAAAAAAGTCAAAATCTATCCTTTGAATTTCGAATATATGTATATTAATTTTACTATATAATAATTAATTATCTGAGATTAATAATTATCAGAATTTTTGCCTTTGTCAATAGAATCAATTATATTTGTCAAAAGAAAATATTAAAATCTATATCTTTTAAATTTGGTATAAATGTATATTAATATGTTTTTGATATTTAATAATTCAACCAACTGATATTTTAATACAAAACTTTTTTATTTGGATACTTCCAAATATTAACAATATTCTCTCAATTGTTTTAAATCCGAACTATTTGTGTATTAATAATTTTAGTGTATTGAGAGTCTATTACTAGAAAGTAAATAATATGGATTCTTTCCGTTTCAAAATTCTAATAGTTCTTATTTCTTTTGTAATATTATAATTTTTACCTGGTGGAAAATTCTTCGGCCTTTCCGTGGCCTGTTTGTAAAGCCAATAGACTAGAGCGACCACAGCTGCTGCTACTATTATCGGATTTGCCATAATATGTATATCAATTGACTTATTTTCGATACTTTTACAATTTATCCTAACTAATAATTTTTAAAAATCTGCGATGTTATTTTAATTATTATCACGTCCAAGAATTAAATCCACTGATGTGAAATGTGAAAATGATTTCGTGCACTTGTTATAAAGATAATGGTATCTCACAACGTAAATACATCTATCTCATACTGTCGATTTCGATTGGAAATGTAACCGGTAAATCTTGATCCATCCAGGACAGTATCAAAATTTTGTAAAAATTTCTACCAAAATATATTTAATATATAATAGATATATACACAATAATTATAATTAATTTTCTACTATACTCCAAATGTATAAAATTCTTTTTTCATTTTCATCATAATATGGATTCTTTTCGTTTTAGAATTCCAATAGCTCATGTTTTTTTTCAACACATTGATTGCAAATTGAAGCACAATGATATATGCATTTATCTTTAAAATATTTATATAATGTCTAAATACTTGCACTTTTACTTTAGTAAAATATTTTTAACTTTTGGTAACAAATCCAAATATTTCTTACTTTTTAAATTATTTAAGTTTATTTCTTACTTAAAAATTCATAAAAATATCTTGCTCACATCATTTGTACTACTATTTCAAAATCATAATATATGATTGAATTTTAATATTCACAATCTGTGTTCTATTTTGTGCGTTTTTTTGCATTTTTTTTTAAAGATGTTATTATAAATTGGAAACATCTTATGATTTAATCTTAAAATATTCTTTTTGATGACTATTAATGCATTACATTCATTCATTTTTTTCATTAGATGCCACTTTCATCATAATATGGATTCTTTCCGTTCTAGAATTTAATAGCTCATGTTTTTTTCAGTACATCGATTGCAAATTGAAGCACATTGATATATGCATTTATTTTTAAAATATTTATATAATGCCTAAATTGCACTTTTACTTTAGTAAAATACTTTTAACTTTTAGTGACAAATCCAAATATTTCTTACTTTTTAAATCTATTGTACTTTTCATGAAAATATTTTGTTCACATCATTTGTACTACTATTTCAAAACCATAATATATGATTGAATTTTAATTTTCACTATCTGTGTTCTATCTTGTGCGTTTTTTGCATTTTTTTTAAAGATGTTAATATAAATTGGGAACACGTTATGATTTAATCTTAAAATATTTTTTTTGATGACTATTAATGCATTACATTCATTCATTTTTCTCATTATATGCCACTTTCATCATAATATGGATTTTTTCCGTTTTAGACTTTAATAGTTCATGTTTTTTTTCAATACATTGATTGCAAATTGAAGCACATTGATATATGCATTTATTTTTAAAATATTTATATGATGCCTAAATAATTGCACTTCTACTTTAGTAAAATACTTTTAACTTTTAGTGACAAATCCAAATATTTCTTACTTTTTAAATCTATTGTACCTTTCATGAAAATATTTTGTTCATTTCATTTGTACTACTATTTCAAAACCATAATATATAATTGAATTTTAATTTTCACTATCTGTGTTCTATTTTGTGCGTTTTTTTTCCTTTTTCTCATTTTTTTAAAGATGTTAATATAAATAGGAACCATCTTATGATTTAATCTTAAAATATTCTTTTTGATGACTATTAATGTATCATCAATAATATTGTTAGTTATGTCAAAACAATAACGATATATAACATATCTTATGGAATGTATTACTGATTATAGTTACTTTTAATGTGCACTATTTTTTAAAACTTTGCTAATATTTTTCAATAATAACTAATTTCAATCAATATGTTATTTTTTTCAGTACATTGATTGCAAATTGAAGCACATTGATATATGCATTTATTTTTAAAATTTTTATATGATGCCTAAATACTTGCACTTTTACTTTAGTAAAATACTTTTAACTTTTAGTGACAAATCCAAATATTTCTTACTTTTTAAATCTATTGTACTTTTCATGAAAATATTTTGTTCACATCATTTGTACTACTATTTCAAAACCATAATATATGATTGAATTTTAATTTTCACTATCTGTGTTCTATCTTGTGCGTTTTTTGCATTTTTTTAAAAGATGTTAATATAAATTGGGAACATGTTATGATTTAATCTTAAAATATTTTTTTTGATGACTATTAATGCATTACATTCATTCATTTTTCTCATTATATGCCACTTTCATCATAATATGGATTTTTTCCGTTTTAGACTTTAATAGTTCATGTTTTTTTTCAGTACATTGATTGCAAATTGAAGCACATTGATATATGCATTTATTTTTAAAATATTTATATGATGCCTAAATACTTGCACTTCTACTTTAGTAAAATACTTTTAACTTTTAGTGACAAATCCAAATATTTCTTACTTTTTAAATCTATTGTACTTTTCATGAAAATATTTTGTTCACATCATTTGTACTACTATTTCAAAACCATAATATATGATTGAATTTTAATTTTCACTATCTGTGTTCTATCTTGTGCGTTTTTTGCATTTTTTTTAAAGATGTTAATATAAATTGGAAACATGTTATGATTTAATCTTAAAATATTTTTTTTGATGACTATTAATGCATTACATTCATTCATTGTTTTCATTATATGCCACTTTCATCATAATATGGATTTTTTCCGTTTTAGACTTTAATAGTTCATGTTTTTTTTCAGTACATTGATTGCAAATTGAAGCACATTGATATATGCATTTATTTTTAAAATATTTATATGATGCCTAAATACTTGCACTTCTACTTTAGTAAAATACTTTTAACTTTTAGTGACAAATCCAAATATTTCTTACTTTTTAAATCTATTGTACTTTTCATGAAAATATTTTGTTCACATCATTTGTACTACTATTTCAAAACCATAATATATGATTGAATTTTAATTTTCACTATCTGTGTTCTATCTTGTGCGTTTTTTGCATTTTTTTAAAGATGTTAATATAAATTGGGAACATGTTATGATTTAATCTTAAAATATTCTTTTTGATGACTATTAATGCATTACATTCATTCATTTTTTTCATTATATGCCACTTTCATCATAATATGGATTTTTTCCGTTTTAGACTTTAATAGTTCATGTTTTTTTTCAGTACATTGATTGCAAATTGAAGCACATTGATATATGCATTTATTTTCAAAATATTTATATGATGCCTAAATACTTGCACTTTTACTTTAGTAAAATACTTTTAACTTTTAGTTACAAATCCAAATATTTCTTACTTTTTAAATCTATTGTACCTTTCATAAAAATATTTTGTTCATTTCATTTGTACTACTATTTCAAAACCATAATATACTCGTATAATTGAATTTTAATTTTCACTATCTGTGTTTTATTTTGAGCCCTTTTTGCATTTTTTTAAAGATGTTAATATAAATTGGAAACATTTTATGATTTAATCTTAAAATATTCTTTTTGGTGACTATTAATGTATCATCAATAATATTGTTAGTTATCTCAAAACAAAAACGAAATATAACATATCTTATGGAATGTATTACTGAATATAGTTACTTTTAATGTGCGATATTTTTTAAAATTTTGCTAATATTTTTCAATAATAACTAATTTCAATCAAAATGTTATTTGTTTCAGTATATTGATTGCAAATTTAAGCACATTGATATATGCATTTATTTTTAAAATTTTTATATGATGCCTAAATACTTGCACTTTTTTACTTTAGTAAAATACTTCTAACTTTTAGTAACAAATATTTCTTACTTTTTAAATCTGTTGTACTTTTCATGAAAATATTTTGTTCAGATCATTTGTACTACTATTTCAAAACCATAACATATGATTGAATTTTAATTTTCACTATCTGTGTTCTATTTTGTGCCTTTTTTGCATTTTTTTAAAGATGTTAATATAAATTGGAAACATTTTATGATTTAATCTTAAAATATTCTTTTTGATGACTATTAATGTATCATCAATTATATTCTTAGTTATGTCAACAATAACGATATATAACATATCGTATGGAATGTATTACTGAATATAGTTACTTTTAATGTGCGATATTTTTTAAAACTTTGCTAATATTTTTCAATAATAACTAATTTCAAACAATATTTTATTTAATGTATTGATAAATGTATTCATTATTAATTTTGTGACTTTGTTGACGTTTTAATTTTAATCTGATCCTAGATTAATGTATTTGTCGAATTAAATTATCACACTGTAATGCATTTTTGTGAATTATTTTGCACATTAATAGATTTTTTACTACGCATTCATATATCTATATAATATATAAATATATATATACATATATATATATATATATATATATATATATATATATATAATAGTTATGTTTATTAAATATAATGATAGAATTTTGCTTCAAACATTACCTATGTTACCTTTATAATTTTGTATTCGCATTTATGTGTACTTTGCTCCCTCTAATTGAATTTTAAATTTTCTAAATCATTGTGTTGTATTTTATTATTCTGAAAGATTTTTTTCATTGAAGTTATTAAAGTAATTTTATTGCTCTGCTAACGAACATAGTATTTTTAAATATGTTATTTCTTTATGATACTTTAACTTTAAAAAAAGGCTCAAGCTTTTTTAATATCTTAGCCTACATTTATATCTGTTGTTAAAAAAATTGCACTTAATTCGACGATGTGCAGTTATAGAAAGTCGTGTTCTATATAACAAACTTTATTTCCAAGTCATAAGATATCATTGTGTTTTTGAGTAAAGCATTCTGCAGTTTTAATATGACAGTATTTTTTTCACGTTTTTCACAAATTGATAGATTTGTGCAATATTTAAATAAACATATTTTTTATGTTGATATTTTTGCTATTTTTATGTTGATAATGGAATTTTGATAGTGATATTTTGCTTAATGGAGTATTTGCAAGTTTTAATCTCAGTTTTTATATTTAATAATAATTTTATATTTAATATTTTTTATATTCTTTTGACTATTTTATTTTTAAATG